GCGGTCGACAGCCGCTTCCGTTTGCCCACGATTATTCGTACTTTTTTTAAAGCCTCGAAAAAGTTCCCTTTAAAAACATCACTTGGAACGGAAAACAGAGAGAAAACGATGTCTCGTCGACGAGTACTATGAGAAATATCGATGAAGAAATCACGAGGATATATCGATATAGGTGTCGTTAATAGTAGTGGCAGCGGCGACGACCTTGGAGTGTAAGAGAATCGAGGGCAACGCGATTTGCATGGGCGACGATCGATGGACGCGGTCTGTTCGATTTCACGCGGCGCTGCCGGCGTTTCCGATCCAACGACGAACAAAAGGGGAGATTGATCGCGATCCTTTGGCAGAAGCGACCCGTGGAACGCGCGTACACGCGCGATCGCGAGTAACATGAGCCAGCGGCACTACTATCTCCTGCAACCTGGACGATAAGTCATGCTCGCCGGATTCGAGCTCCTCCAGACCGCTGTCAACTATCTTCTGTTATCAGGTGCGCAACGTCGAACCCGCCTGGCCGATTGTTTCCGTTGTATTGTGCTCGAGTAAGATGCTCGAGGAGGAAGTTGTATAACCCTTTAACAGTGTATTCAAAGTGACGGTTCAGAATCTTCTGCACGTTTATATGTGTATTTTATCGTTTTTTTCGTAAGTTCGAGGGAGAAGGATTTCTGAGTTGTAAATTTGGCGATCTGGATTAGCCGGCCTTTGTCAATATTGTCAGACTTTTCTGTCAAAAATCTCGTTTTTCGGTGAATCCGAGAGTCCCAGTGCTGTACACTTTCGGTGAAGATGAAAGTCTCGCGTGTATAGTCGGTGGAAGAAATTAATTCTGACTGAGGTTTCGGGTCCTTATCTTCTCAGGTTTCTGTCGACGCCTGTCAATATGTGCAAACTTTGACACCTGATCGATTTTACGATCTTATTATTTCTTCCACAGACTATACACCGGGTTCCTTTCGCAGTCGGGAAGTTCTTAAAATCAGTGAAGGTTTGAACCAGTTTTATAGCAATGCAATTAAAGCTACGATACATTATTAGTTCCCTGTCTCCAAGATACAACAGTGACACAATTTCGGTGACACTGTGATTCACATCGATACCAATTTCCGAATATTTCTTTGTTCAGACGTCGAAGACTCTCTGGCGTTATCTCTCCTCTCTCCAAGTCGCAATACAACGTAACACAATTTCAGTGACACACAGCTACACCAATTTCCCAATACTTCCCTATTCAAAAGTGAAACGCTCCCCCTTGGTGTTTATCCAAGACCTTATCATTCCTCTACTCGCGAAGCAAACGAAAGAACACGTCGAAACGCCGAATTAGCGTAAAGTGTGTCATCGTGTACGAAAGAGAAATTCCATCGATAAACATTAACGCTCGCCCGTGGTTGATCGACACGTAGCGAGGAGAAAGGCAACTTTTCGACGCACGTGACGTCGATATTATGCAACGATATTATACCAGGCCGCTAATTGTTCGTACGGTATCGAGCGCGATTGCCTCTGTCATTGATTGATCGCGGCGGGTATAGTTCGCGCGCACGCGGTACTCGCGACCGCAGCGAACAGTGATAATTAGCCAGTGGAACATTGCCAGGGAATTTCGTAGCTTTTGTTCGAACGCCGCGGCGGCAGAGTTATGACGATCGGCGTGTAGAAATCGTCTCTCTCGCTGTGACTCTCGATCCCGCGATAAATCATCCCCCTAATTGGACATCGCGACGCGTCTCACTCTCCGGTAATCGTGTATTAATCGCGCTACATATGGAATTCATTAACGCAACCTGTACGATACTTCGCGATACACGCACGCACGCGCGTGTTTTTGTAGGATGTATTTTACTTGGAAGAATCTCGCTTATCACGCGTTCAAATCTCCCATTTCCCTGGTATTAGCGTGTGTCACACGTTAGATCCTCGCGACGAGAGTAATTACTGCGACAGCTTGTGAAATCTATCGAACGTCTCTCTTTGACAAGGATCATGCTTACACCTGGATGATGTAGCTTCAATTGGAATATTTATGAACTTGTCCCAGGTGAGAGACTCGACCTTTTAACTGTGCCGTGTGTTAAACGGACATTTTTCGCGTTGGAAATTAATTGTAACTGCCGCGAAGATTGAAATTCAAGTAGCTCTCGTCTGTGACATGGTGAATGTCTCTAAGATACTGTATAACGGGTGTCTTAATTTTTTCGGATGAAACTTTGCGAGTGTGTTCTATGGGTGCAGGTGAGAGAAAATTGTTATGTACACATGGGTGGTTTGAAGCTTCGTTAAAAAGTTACGACGATAATGGGAAATGCAGGGGGAACGCTAACGGGTGTACGATTATTATGATACAAAATAGGAATAGGTCAGCGGTATGTATACGTATAGTTTGTTTATACGAGCTGTGTTTACTATCTGAGGTCGTTGAAGGTGTTGAATGTAACTTTTTCCAATGCCATTTTTGTTTTGTATTATGATAATCACAAGTTTGTTGCTATTCCCTTAGTATTTTTTCTATAACTTTTTAACGAAGTTTCAGACGACCCATGTTTATATAACATTTTCTTCTTACTTATATCCATAGAAGATTCTAATAAAGTTTGGTCGGAAAAAATTTGGACACCCTGTATATAAGATGGGCCATGCAAATCTTCTTTAGTTAAGGTGGTACCAGGAAATGTTTATGCATAATTTAAAGCTTGTGGAGCTCACAAATATTTCAAAGCAACCTGAAATATTGGTAAATAGCAGTATATAGGGTGTTTTACCTAATTATTTTCACTAGCTAGTGCAATTTGAATTTCTTAAAAGGGTGAATAAGATGGAAGAACAATTTTCTTATAAATGCCACTTTTTTCGGTTTTACTCAAGGTGTCACCTGTATTTTTTTACATGAATGTATATAATATGTTTTGGAATCTAAAATTTTAAATCAAATATGAAACTCCTTTCACTTTTTGCCATATCTTGCATCAAAAGAATTAAGAAACACCATAACTAGAGAAGATAATTAGTTACCCTGTACAATACCGATAAGGATATCTCTCCATGATTCGTAAAATTTTATTCCAGCAGAGAATGAGAAGTACGATCGAATTCTACGGTGGAGTTGCGTTGTCAAGGCGCAACCCTCTCTTGCGAGGTCGAGTTCCCCCTTTTTTCCACGTCTCACCCTCTCTCTCTTTGACCCAGTCCCAGCAGCCTGTCCTCCTCTCTTAACAGCCCCTTTCCCATGCGTGCATGCGTGCCTGCGTGCGTGTTGCTTTCCATTGTTTACGCAATGCCTCCTCGACCAGGTTCGCGCTCTGCCTTCACCTCTCTCTCTCTCTCTCTCTCTCTCTTTTCCCTCCTTTCTCGTTGTATTTCTAAAGGGGAGAGAGCTAACTCTCTGTCGGAAAGGTTACGTCGAACGAATTGATCCACGCTGAGGGATCTCGAAGGAAAGATTTCACGTTCCCTCGCACACACACCGTTAGCTTTCACACTAGCTTCACAATTGATCCTCCTTCTGGCTAGCGTGGCTCGAGTCCGATGAAAGGAGCTCGCTTTGCTATGAATGTCGTCAAGGACGAAGTATGAAAATGATTCTTTTCCATTCTGATGTCAAGATCGTTGCGGTCTATAGCTGGATTCCCGTGGCTAAGCTGCGCGATTCAACGTGTATCCAGTGTGAAATATCGTATCGATCTATCATGCGTTCGCCTAATGGCTAATTGATTCGCGATGCATCTTTGGAAATGGGGAAAGGATTCTGGGGAAGTTAAGGCTTAATTTGTTACTTCTGTGAAATTTCTGAAGAAAGGTTGTGGAAAAGAATTTGATAATTTTTAGAGTTTGGGAGGTAGAATTTCAGAAGAAAAAGCTCTGGAAGAGAAATTTGTAATTTGGAAGGTAGAATTTCGGAAGAAAAAATTCTGGAAAAGAAATTGATAATTTTTAGAATTTGGGAGGTAGAATTGCTCTGGAAAAGAAATTTGTAATTTAGAAGGTAGAATTTCGGAAGAAAGAATTCTGGAAAAGAAATTGGTAATTTTTAGAATTTGGGGGGTAGAATTTCAGAAGAAAAAATTCTAGAAAAGAAATTGGTAATTTTTAGAATTTGGAAGGCAGAATTGCTGAAGAAAAAGCTCTGGAAAAGAAATTTGTAATTTTTAGTATTTGGGAGGTAGAATTGCTCTGGAAAAGAAATTTGTAATTTAGAAGGTAGAATTTCGGAAGAAAAAATTCTGGAAAAGAAATTGATAATTTTTAGAATTTGTATTCCGAGACGTCGAGTATTGTGAAATTAATCTAATTAATAATAATATACTAATTATTAATGTGATTCTCTCAAGTCGATACTTGAGATTTAGTATGAATATATTAACTCTCGTTTGAGTCTGAATTGAAGTCCGACGACTCTCGTTTGAGTGTCTTTGAATGAATGTGAATGTAATACTTAAATCTTAACGTAACTACCAAATTTTACGACTCTAATCCAGCAAACCGAAGCTTCGTCGCAGCAACATTTTTGCCAAAGGATTTCCGATTCTACGAAAATTCAAGCTCGGTCTCTTATTTTTCTTAAAATCTCTAAACAAAAAATTCGGATAAAGATTGACGGGTAAAAAATGCGCGAAATAAAAAATCCCCGAAAGAATGTTGATATTTAAGAAACAAAAGGGACTAACGTTCTCCACTTGGAAGTAATTGGAAGAAACCTCGCGTGAAACGGTCGCGCGTATCAACGCTAAATCAAGGACAGGGTAGACGATCGATTTATCGCGCAGGTGATTATTTTTTCCATTTTCGCGCGTCGCTTATCAGCGTCGGTTTTATCGCGTTCTCCACCACAGACGATATACACAAACGAACGAATCTCAACGTAACGATGTCATTATGTCAGACTTGGACGATAGGATCTGGCTTGGTCGCCACCGCCTCGATCCTCGTCCTTGGACGCCGATAATCGAACGCTAATTAACTTACCAGATGCTAATTACCCTTCCTTTTTCTCTCTGTTTCAGAGCGCGAGAGGCACAACGCCAACAGGCTATCCGCGTAAGTATTCCACCACATTTCACTCCTATCATTTCTTTTCAACGATCGATCGATCATCGTTTACTACACACAGTGGCCGGTAACAGTTTCGATTCAATTATCTCGTAAATTTATTCCATTTAAAAAAAAAAAAACTGTCGATTTGTCCGAACGAGTGAATTTTCAAACAGAACGTGGAGAGTAAGTTAATCATTTGTGAAACGTTGATCGATGGTAGTAAAGATTTCTAACAATATTTTTATCGCGACACTTTTAACGAGCCACGGAACGAGACTTCTCCACTCGACAACACGCGGCATAGATGGCGCGCGATATTAGGAGCAGCTTGAACGAGAATTAATCCGTCAAAGACGAGATTAATTATGCGTGCTTCCCTCGTATCGGCGCGCCTCAATTAAATTCTTCCTCCAATCGGAGCTTTCCATACGCCACGTACACCTCTGTTCTTCCTTCTCTCTTTTCCTCCGAGCTTTTTAACACGCCTCGTTTTCTGCCGCCTTTCCGACCCGCGCGAAGGTAAAGAAAAAGAGACCGGTTTACACGGAGAATAAACGATAATAGTTGTTACAACGTCGAGACTCTGGGAAAAAATGCGTCGAAATCTCGCGGAGGATTCTCGAAAGTTTCCCACGTGTCGACAGGAAGCTGTGTCGCCGTTTTCTCGCCCCGCCTGGAAACTTCCGCTCGGTGGTCTCGCGTGTCTTTCACGATTCGGATCATTGTACCTTTTCAAACGGAACTTCTGTTTCCTCGGTTTACGTATGCACGATACCAAAACGATACACTCGATGCTGCTGTTTTTAGATCGAACGATTGCCTTCGTAGTTAAAAAAAGCTTGTTGTTTCGTCTGGTACGCAAGTACGATCCGTGTATTTACGATACGCTGTCGTAAACATTGTCGGTAAACACATGACGGAACGTGGCGGGTCGGGAGTCAACTGTTACCACATTCCGAGATGAAATCGCTGACTACTTTAGTCGGTACTACATGCCCGCGCGGTAATCTCGTGAATGGTTAATCAGGAGCGTATATTATCGAACCTAACTGAATTTGCATACAGCGAGGACTTCGTAACTCTTGCATCTTTGCCACCGGAGATTCTTATCTTCTAACGATTGCATTCGAGGTGATCATCTTTATTTCGTAATTCGCGGAACGTCGGAGAAAATAGAGAAGGGTATCGTGAAATTTTCATCGGGATATTAGCGGGGAATAAGATCGATACGAGGGTGTGTTTTGTGGAGAAGCTATATTGCGGTCGTAAATCGCGACGTTAAGGAGGAGCGCCATCCTGAAAATAAGGTGAAGTTTGGGAATTTTTTTGGCGGGTAATTATTAGAGGAAAGGTTTCAATTTTTTTGGAGGATGTGAGTGTAGGTTTCAGGTTTGTTCTCTAATTTTTGGAAAGAAAAACGTTGCAAAATGGAGGAGTTATTGAGGAATTTATTCGGTTAGGTCATCGGTTGTTAGTGTATAGTCGGTGGAAGCGATGTAGCGAGGTCGTAAAATCAGTCGAGCGTCAAAGTATACGTAATCCGGGGGCTAAAACAGCAATTCGAGGGAGATAAAGAGCTTGAGCCCCGTTCTGCTCGGAATTGGTTCTTCCATTGTAGTGTATTTAAAAAAGTTTGCTTTAATTGCTGACAGATGTAGGATAATTTTTATCAATACGAGAATTATTATTGAAGAGGAGGAGATAGAGGCTTACTATCGTTTAGCTTAAATGAAAGATAGTAAACAGAAATTTTAAATTATATTTTACAAATGGTGGAAGACCTTCGGTGTAGCTATATCAATCGGTGACGTTGCTTAACACTGGAACAACCAGAATTTTGTCCCTTCTGGTATATTTAGATAAGACTATACATATAACGAACGTCAGAATTAGAATCTTTAATGGAAAATAAATTGGCACATCTAGTTATTTCTTTGTTTCAACAAAAGGCACTGTAAGTATACTTGAACAAAAGCGACTTAATAATTTCTGTAATTAAAAATAAAGAAATCTTAATGCTTTAATTTACGATCCCACTGTATCGTTTCCATCAACTATACCTTTTTAAGCAAAAACTGATTTATCCTTCCAAAGAAGCTCTCCAGATCCAAAATTATGCGAATCTTCGAACAGTCGATACTACTAGCAGCCAAGCAGCGACCATAACAAAATCAGTATAGACATCTGACAAATATATCCACTTTTTTTCTCCTTTTATCACTTACCTTCTCCTCTATTTTCATACCGTAGCTTACATGAAATTTGCTAAATATACTGTAATAATGGAAGAACGGTGCCATATTGACGTCACACAGCTCCGACCGAAGCTCAAATTCCTTATTTCACTCAAACCGATCTGTCCGCGATCAGGTTTCATATTCTCTCCCGCCCGTCTGATTTTACTACCACGCTATATCCCTTCCACCGACTATACATACGACGAACGACGTCTACTCGCTCTTTCAGAGGTAGCCGGACGTCGTATCGTTCTAGAATTACATTAGCTTTTACCATCTTTCTAGATCAGGTCGTAGAATTTGGCGAAATCGGCGCGTTCATCGTTACGCTATCGGCTCGAGAAAGAAAATTAACGAGCCCCGAAAATCGTAGGCAAGACACGTTCCCGCCTTCGAACCCCTTCTCTCTCTTCGCCTCGTCGCGGGTTTTCGACCACGGTAACTGCCCCTAATAACCCTGGCAGGGTTCGTCGACGGAAAACTGGGTCGTATCGTCGACCGACGTGACTTTTTCGCAGCGATCGGGACTCGGTGTTGCGTAAACGAGATTCGACTCGGCTGCTAACGCGATTCTACGTCGTTTGCCGGTTCTCGTTATCTCGAATTCTCCATGGAGCATATACATATACATGTGTGCGTATATATAATGTACTCGTGTTAATTTAAACGTGTTTCACACGTCAGATTTAGCTATCGAGAAGAGAATTTTCGACCGGTGATAAAACAAAGAATTTGTCAGGGAATGTTGGGGAATTTCACGCGGCAATTGGTGCGTTAAGGGTTCGTCAGGAATCGTCGGGTGTCCCCAGGGTAATCAAGATCGAAGCGATCGATTCGGTGAAGCGTTTCGTAAAGGTCGATGGCAATCAGGAAGAGGCGAACGCGTTGGCTCGTTCGAATTAACACGCCGCTTCGACGCTTCGTTTTAAGGGTGCACGCGATACAGCAGTAGGACGTGTATCATCCGCCGTAATTGTTTCCTGGACGAACAGGCTCAAGACTTAAACAGGTGTATCGAAGCTTGGTATTATCACCCTCGGTGGTTAATTATTCTACGAATACCGGGCAGATTGATACTTCCATCCGTGGAACCGTTAACCTCTTCGCTTGTCATTTTTCAGTTATTTTCAGCGTATTAAATCGCTTGGAAATTTCCAAAAGTGTATTTCCCGAGTTTAACTCTTTCACTTGTCATTTTTCAATTATCTTTCGGTAAACTTTTTTACGCGACGAAGTAAGTACCTAGAAATTTCCTAACCTAACCTAATCTTTGCTCGTCATTTGTTACGTATTTCCCGAGTTTAACTCTTTCACTTGTCATTTTTCAATTATCTTTCGGTAAACTTTTTTACGCGACGAATTAAGTACCTAGAAAATTCCTAACCTAACCTAATCTTTGCTCGTCATTTGTTATTTATTTATCTTTTACATTTAGTCGCTTGAAAATTCTAAAAGTATATTCCTTAATATAACTCTTTCACTTGCTATTTTTCAATTATTTTCAGTGAATTTTTTTTAGAAATTTCCTAACCTAACTTTAATTCTTCGCTCGTCGTTTGTCTATTATTTGTCTTTCGGTAAACTTTTTTACGCGACGAATTAAGTACCTAGAAATTTCCTAACCTAACCTAATCTTTGCTCGTCATTTGTTATTTATTTATCTTTTACATTTAGTCGCTTGAAAATTCTAAAAGTATATTCCTTAATATAACTCTTTCACTTGCTATTTTTCAATTATTTTCAGTGAATTTTTTTTAGAAATTTCCTAACCTAACTTAAATTCTTCGCTCGTCGTTTGTCTATTATTTATCTTTCGGTAAACTTTTTTACGCGACGAATTAAGTACCTAGAAAATTCCTAACCTAACCTAATTTATCGCTCGTCATTCGTCAATTATTTATCTTTCAAATTAAGTCGCCCAAAAATTCCATAAGCATATTTCCCAACCTAATCCTTTCACTTGTCATTCTCCACTTACTTTCAGTGAATTTTGTTTACGCGACGAACTAAGTCTCCTAAAAATTTCCCAACCTAACCTAATTTCTTCCCTCTCCATTTTTCAATTACTTATCTTTCAACGAATTTTTCTACGCGTCGAATTAATTCGCCTAGAAATTTTCAAAAGTATATTCCCTAAACTTAACCTAACATTTCCACTCGTCATTTTACATTATTTATTGTTCAGCGATGTTTTACACACAACGAATGAAGTCGTCGAGAAGTTTCGAGAAGCGTACTTCAGTCCCTTATCGTTTAATAATATCGCGCTATTGACTCTGAAGAGAGCACGGTGTTAATTAACCGCGAAATTCGACGAATCTTAGATTCCACTCGGATGATAAAAACAGCAAGTCGTGGGGACGGTGTTTTTTCTCCGTGAAGCGAGCGACGATATGCAACAGCACGAGAGGCTCGTGCGTTATCAGGCAAACGGCTCACGGCCTTGTCCAATTCCGATAACGCCGAGCTCTCGGGTTACGAAGTCACACCACCACCCTGCCAACCTGGAACTTCCAGGGTGGGCGGTATGCTCACGGCCAAGCAGGACTGTCTGAGATGCAGAAACATTGCTATTTGACAAACTTGTTAACACCCACACTCTAGAATAATTTACAAATTAAAAAGAATGGTGCATAGTTGGATATTAAGCATATACCTACAGTATGTCCGGTTTATCTCAGACCAGTGAAATGTCTCGAAAATTACGAACGATACAATAAAATATTTCAGACGAAAGTTGTAGGGTATCGAGGGCTGCATATTGTT